TCCCCTGGTGCTGGGGTCTTCCAAAGCTGTGCAACCAGAGTTCACAGGAGCAAATCCTCTGGCCAGAAAATCCAAGTCCACTGACCAAGTTCACCCCTCCTGGCACCTTCAGGGAACGTTCCACCACGTTCCTCCACGAGTGCAGGGGCACAGCTGCCATCTTGCCATGGGTTGCAGGGAAACTTCTGCTTGGGCACCTTCTTCCCCTTCTTCCTCATCAATCACCATCACTTCTCTCCTCCTCCAGCACTGCTCTTCTCCTCCAGCTCAGCTCTTCTCCCCATCCTTCTCTGCTCAGGTGTTATATCAGTTCTTTTGTATGTTACAGGCAGAGGTGCATCTATTGTCCCTCGGATCTCTGGTTGGGTTTGGAGCAGGGGGAGCTTCTCAGCTTCTTACCGGAGCCACTCCTGTGGCCCTTCCCCCGCTACCAAAAAAACCCACCAAACCAAACCAGAACATCATCCTACATTATCTATGCCAGACAGTCCCATGTAGAACAAAACCATGCAGTTCCATTTAATATCCTGTGATTTCTCCCATACTAAACACAGCTTTGACAGTCGTACACGCAATGTGTGTTGCAAAGTCCCACACCAGCTGTAGAGAATGCGTTTAGGACAGCAATGAGTCTCAGCAGATGGACGACAACAACCACCACTTAAATGTTACAAGTTATGTTTAAGATGAAATCAAACCCAGGAACAACTCCAGTTCCCATCTAGATAATGCAGAAAAGCATCAGTCCTGGCTTGGAAGTGCTTTTAACTGACCTGGATCTCATGAAGGCAAGAGGAAAACTCCCACTGGAGCTTTTGACTCTCAGACAGGCTAATTCCAGTTCATTGTTCTCATTTTATTTAGTTATGCAAAAAATCACCAAGCCCTACATTTAACTCTCTGAAATAATATTTCTCCATCCACAAAAAATCCAGGTGAGAGTTTCCGTTTTGGGATTCTTATTCTTTCATAAGAAAAATAAATAAGCAGAGATACATGAACATTTATTCCCTGTAAGCATCAGCACAATTCATTTAAATTAAACCCAAGGTCTTTTGAAATGGCTTGAAATCTTCTGTAGAGGTGAGGGAGCCCAGATGAAAGAAAAGGGTAAATGGAGTCTGATGATAATTTATATCAGCATCTTGGGAAATGAACTCAAACACTCAGAGGACTCAAGAGCTAAGGTCTTCTCCACCAGAGGGGCAGGCTGGCCAGGTTTGTTTCCATCTCTTAGGGGAGGGAGAAGATGAAGACAGTACAATAATGCATCATTTCAAAGACTGCGTTTCCTCTCCTCCCTACAGCCTCCTAATGAACAGAATTCAACTTAGGGGCTACAAGTGGCTGGAAACATCCCCACTAATCATTTAGTCAGAAGACAGATATATAGATACACAAAGAGACAGAGAGGGAGAAGTTTCTGAAACACTACTTTGGTGAGCCCAAAATGCTCTGTTTTGAAACAGCTCTGAATGACCTTTGGAGAAGCCTGAGGCTCGAAGCCCATGACAGCTGCCCTGACAGACAAGAACATCATACTTCCTCGGCAGCTGTAGGGCCTGGGGAGCTTCTGGATTCCTGGAAATACTGACAAGTTCTAAATTCTGGCCAGTTTTGACCACAGCCAAATTTCAAAATTCCTGCAGGCTGGAAGCCCTTGCTTTTAGCTACCTCAGAACCAAATTTCTAGACGCATAACAGAAGTTGCAATATTACCCACTCCTGTCAATACCAAATACTGAAATACAGTGGTTCAGCACTTTTCAGAATCATAGCATTATGTTCAAATAATGACAATTAAATTGACACATGTTCCTTCTCCTTACAGGTTTACAGACCTCTGACATGCCCTGGTCTTTGCAATAACAGTGTGAAAACTTCTAACCTACTCTCCAAAAATAAGGAAAAAATAATCCTTTGGAGTAGTTTTCTGATACTGCCTGTGTTGCAAAGCTCATTGCTAAACATGGCTGAATGACCATGCTACTGGCTTCTAGACCTGACTTCTTATAGCTACAGCTCTGTTGCCAGGAGCATTAAGGATAAGCCCTTAAGACACAGTAGTTATGGAGCAGCATGTGGGAAGGAACCCAGGTATAAGGAACTAAAGCACTGCAGAGCCCACCCTAAAGGAGATGGCCTTCAGTAAGGGACCTCAGCAGAAGGGTGAAGCCAGGGAAGTTGAGACTTGGTTCCTCCACAGAAAAAAATGGTGGCAAAACCAAGAATGGACTAGGGAAGCAGCACAATTATAGCTGGAAAACTTTGTGTGTCCCTACACAGACATAGCTAGAGCCTGATGAGGCACTAGGTGAGAATCCTAGAAGCATCTTTATTTTAATTAGGAGTACCATCCTTCAGCCTCTGCCTGCCTGGCTATAATTATGGCAAGACCTCTATTTGAGTGTCTGTGTTAAAATCAACTGTCTTCTCTCCAGCAGAGCTCCCTTCTCTCCACATACTGACAGGCAGCTTCGGTACCAGGGGTAAGTGACTATTTAGAAAGTCGAAGCGACAGCTTAAGCAGCTCCTCTCCTGTGTAGTGAGAGCAGAAAAGCGCTCCTCACCCTGCGTGCCGGAGCGGCCCCGGGCGGGCAGCGCAGCGCAGCGCAGCGCGGACCCACAGCCCCACCTGGCGGGAGCGGCTCCGGCCCCGCAAACACGCGCACCTAACGCGGGCCCGCACGGCAGCCCTGCTTTTGAATCAAAGGCATAAGAACAGCTGTGATGAAATCCGAGGGCATTATTTTTAATCATTAAGCGGAAAGCACTCTAAGGAAAAGGCAGGTTAAGCGTACTGAGTTACCAGTATTTTACCTGCACGGTACTAGACAGGACTGCAAACACAACTCTTTGCTTTATGCTTGTGCAAGGTCAATGCAACAGGCACATAAAATGCCAGCAGAACGGCACAGCAGCGTTGGAAACCGATTTTGCTACACTAGGGAGAACTCAATCCTTGAATGCACAACAAAGAAGGTCTTGTGTAAATAAAGAGGTTTAAGTAGGTCTGCAAGAGCTGCCAGCTCACAAGCTGAGTCACAGACAGCATTTTCGGGAGTGATTGGGGTTTACAGCTACTTTTAATACACACTCTGGATAAAGGTGAAATAAATAATTGTGAGGTGGAAGGTAGAGCTGGAGGGAAAAAGCATCTGTTCACTTATTTCCACTTCTAACTGCTCAGTACAAATTCCCTCCTGTTCCCAGAGCAGGATGAAGGGGCCAGCCATCTACCATTATGACTTCTCCCTTTATGACACCTGCCATTATGACATCTCCCAATATGAAATTTCCATTTATGACCTCTCCCTTTAGCACATCTCATTATGACGTCTCCCTTGATGACAGATCCCTCTATTTCATCTTCCATTGTGACATCATCCATTTTGATGTCTCCCTTTATTAGGTCTCCCATCACATCTCCTGTTATGACATCTCCCTTTATGATGTCTCACCCATTATGATGTCTCCCTTTATGATATTGCTGAGTATGACGTCACCTGTTATGACATCTTCCATTATGATATCACCCATTAGGAAGTCTCCCTCTATGTCAGCCATTATAACAACGCCCATTATTATGTCCCCCTTTGTATTTTTTGTATTTCCATTTATGACGTGTCTTGATTATGACATCTCCCTTTATGAATTCTTCATTTATTACCTCTCCCTTCATGACACTGCCCATTACATCATCTCCCATTATGAGGTCTCCCTTTATTTCATCTTCCATTGTGATGTCACCCATTTTGATGTCTCCCTTTATTAGGTCTTCCATTATGACTTCTCCCATTCTGACATCTCCCATTTTTATGTCACCCATTATGACGTCTCTTTTTATGACGTCTCCCATTATATCTCCCTTTATGACATCTGCCATTATGATGTCTTCCTTTCTGACATTTCTCTTTATGACATCTCTGATTACGATGTCTCCCATTAAGTCTCCCTTTATGATGTCACCCATTATGATGTCGTCAATTACAAAATCTCTTTATGCTGCTGCCTATTATGATGTCACCCATTATGACATCTCCCTTTATGACATCGCTCATTATGACGTCACCCATTATTATGTCATCCATTGTGACATCTTCCATTATGATGTCACCCATTATGATGTGTTCCTTTATGATGTCTCCCATTATGACATCTCTCTTTATATCTCCCATTACAATGTCTCCCATTATGACATTTCCTTTTATTACATGTCTGATTATGACATCTCCCATTATGATGTCACCTCTTATGACATTTCCCTTTATGATGTTGCTCATTATGACGTCTCAGGTTATGATGTCGCCCATTATGACGTTTTCCATTATGATGTCAACCATTATGACATCTTCCTTTATGACATGTCTGATTATGACATCACTGTATAACATCTTGCCTTGACGTCTACCATTATGACATCTCTGTTTTTGATGTCACTCATTACATCTCCCATTATGAAGTGTCCATTTATTATGTCTCCCATTATGACACCTCCCTTTTTGACATGGCCAACTATGAAGTCTCCCTTTATGATGTCGCCATTATGACAGCTTCCATTCTGATGTCTCCCTTTATAACATTTCCCTTTAAGAATATCTGATTATGATGTCTTGTTTTATGATGTCTACTATGTCTTCTCCCTTTATGACATGTCTGATTCTGACATCTGCCATTATGAAGCCTCTGGTTTTTACATCTTCCTTTATAACGTCACCCGTTATGATGTCACCCATGTGACATCATAACGGGTGGCGTCATAATGGGAGACGTCATATTGGGCAAAGTCATAAAGAAGTAAGTCATAAAAGGAGACATCATAATCAGATACGTCATAAAGGGAAATGTCAGGAAGAGACATCATAATGGGTGATGTCACAATAGGAGATGTGATAATGGGTGACATCATAACTTCATAATTGGCAACATAAAAATTGGCAACATCACAATGGGAGACATCACAATGGAAGCTATTATTAAAAACTAGTCTCTTATAGACAGTTATAGAAGATTCTTCTTTTGACATTTATTTGTTTATAGCAACATGAAGTACATCTTTCCACTTAGGTATTTTAGTGCAACAAGGAAATCCATTACCTCAATAAGCTTCACCAAGGTGATCTATGATTTTATATGCAATGGAAAGATTATTTAAAGTGTCTCTCTGCTGCACAACAGTTTAAAGCTTCAAAAATCTAAGCAAATACCTCTCACAGAATTAAACAAGCAGACAATTTGCCTGATTATTAAATGCTTTTGTTGGATGAGCGAAGTGTTTTCTGCAGTAGAGCAATTCACTTGTAAGCCACACGTACTACTACAAGAGTGGTATCAGAGTAGAACTGGTGACATTTTGGTAGTCTGTGTAACAATTCCACTCTATTTTTTGCAAGTTGCATATCTTGAAGATACATTCTCCCAGTTGATCACATTCCAGATGGCTTTCAAATAATCAGGTCGAACATTTTTATATTGAAGATAATAAGCATGTTCCCATACATCGATTCCTAGCAAAGGAATGAGACCTGTAAAAAAGAAAGGAGGATAAATTACACACCTTACCTGTACAGTCTTACATTGCATCCCAAAGCTGTACCCAATTTCTGAATCATCATCTGCAGGGAGACAAAGAGTTCTCCAGCACACAGGTGCTCACTGCAGTATTTTACAGAATTGTTTGCTCTCCACACATACCCATACTGCATAAACCAAAAGAGCTGATTCAAATAAGCACCTATGAATACTCTAGAACTGCCTTGAAGGCATTAATGAAATGAGAGAAAGTAATTTTTGAAAAGTTTACATCTTTTGTACAGTTATGCAAGCATTTTTATGAAAAGTTACACCATGAAGGACTCTCTTGGCATGCAATTTGCTTCCGAAATTTTAATCACAAATAACTAATTTTCTAACTACTTTTGTTGCTTTTGTGCTAATATATCCTTCTCACTAAATTTTTAATTGGGAGGTTTCATGGGGAGGAGGGACGAAACTGACCTCTAGCACTGCCAAGTCTAGCACTAAACTGTGTCCCTAAGCACCACATCTATACATCTTTTAAATACCTTCAGGGATAGTGACTCAACCACTTCCCTGGATAGCCTGCTCCAGTGCCTGTCAACCCTTTTGATGAAGAAATTTTTCTTAACATCCCATCTAAACCTCCTCTGGCACAACCTGAGGCCACTTTGTCTTGCCACTTGTTGCTTAGTAGAAAAGACCAACACCCTAAAACCAGGTTGTCTAAGAGAGAGCATTTTCACAATATGCCTCATCTATTTACCCTTTGGCTAGACTGGCTTTAAACTCTACTGCTCTTCAGTTTTTAAGTTCTGCTTTACAAATGCTCTTTTAAAAATGTCAACTGTTTTTCACTTCTACTAGTAGTGTTACTCAGTTTTTCAGCCTTATTTATCCAGCAATTCTGCTCAGCATTTGTCCACAAACCTCTTTACAGATCTCATACACTTGTCTATGAAATATCCAGAGAATCCCCAAGAGAGGGGAAGGACAGAAACCTAACCTGTTGTTCCTTGCAAAGGGTCTTGATTTGCACAAGCTGCTATTTGTAGGCGTCCTTGTTCTTTGTTATAGCCAAGCCACCCCCAGCCTGATCCTTGAACACCAACTGATACGGCTGTCAGCTTCTCCTTGAAGTTTGCAAAGGAACCAAAGTCACGTTTGATCGCTTCCATCAATTCTCCTTTAAAAAAAACACAGAAAGATAAGAGATTGTCAGGTACTTAATGTATTTCAATTCCTAGATATCACCTGGAAATAGAATGAAAGAGGAGTTGAAAAATTTGGACTCTGTGGGAAGGAAGTGTCTAGACAGAGTAGCTGCATCACTAACAGTTCTGTCCCAACCTGCTTAAGAGGGCAAGCAAACTGGAAATAAATTAATGCAGGAGTTAAAAATCATCAAAGAAACAGTCAGGGTGCTATCAATAGGACACTCATGTGTTTATGGTTTTAACTAAAAAGAAAGGCAACAGCACAAAGAATGACCAGGAAAGAAGGTAAAGTGCTTGTCTGCATATCTAAAAGGACAGCACTAAGTGGTGGCTGTGATTTCTTTGTGTACAAAGATGCATTTGGACATCTCTGATATCACTATAATGAACCTACACATAGTAAGAGTTGTTTAACCACTTTGCTCAGAGTTTAGATTCATATCTGCTTCTACAGCTAAGTGGTCTATTTGATAAGTAGGCTCTGTGATTAGATCCCTTCTTTTTTGTAGTTAAGCTAACCTGTGCTGTGGCAAAGGGAACATAAACTAGAATTGTTTACTGTAACAATGCACTGCCA